TTTTCTTTATTTTTTCAAACCAAATATACAATTAAAATGTAACAACAAACGGTAAGTAACTACATCTATTTTTCATATGGTAGAGATAAAAAAAAAATTTTGATATGAGAGGGAAAAATATATATATAATTTAGGCTTAAAAAGTATCATACTAGTTTTAATAAATCTTATTCAATAACAATATTTAAATACTTTTACAGTTTTAATAGTTTAGACTATTACATACAAGTCGGTAGTTGTTGTTTTGTTAGTTCATCCGTGCATTAAAATTTAATCTCTTCTTAGATTATTTTAACACAATAATACTTTCAAAAACATAAATTCAACTATTGGTTTGCTAATGTTAGTTGGAAAGTGATATTTTTAAAATTATGACTCAAATTTTTGTTGAAAGTTACGATAAATATAAACTTTTTCCTTTTTATTAATTTTAAAACTTTATTGTCTCATTTACTTTTAGCTATCCTACTTTTTAACTTGAAGTATTCAAAATTAATTGTAATTTATTTTAAAATGTCATTTAATAAGTTTATTCTTATTTATCATTATTTTTAAAAAAATAATTATAACAAATATTACAATAAGCATGCTTATTTTATTTAGATAGTGGTTAATTAAAATAAAAATAAAATATCATCAATTAATTATTACATAGTTTTATTTTATTATAGAAAAAAATAGACCAACTAAAATTGAATAAAAAAAAGTGTTATTTTTACAATGATATAATTACAATGCTATATCAAATTATAAATTTATAATTATAGCATATTATTAAATTAATAAATATATATAATATTACATGTGAGTTTTTGAATAAAAATAATTACTTATAAACTAACATATTACAATTATAAATTTATAATATTATAATTATATTATTTATTAAAATTTTATTTTCATAATAGTAAGAATTAAGAGTATCTTTGATTTAATTTTAAAAAAAAATTGAGAGGATTTGGTTAAAAAATTTTTTGAGAGGAAAAGGAAAGAGGGTCGATTCTTTTACACCCTGCTTTCTCCGTCGGCACCGATCAAAATTTGTAGACAAAATCAAGCCAAAAATGGTTTCATTCCCCAATCTTGGATTCTACAAAACCGGTGAAATGTCCTTTATGCTCTCCCCATA